GAACTTCACGCGCTTCGTAGATTTCTTCTTCTCTTTCTTCGGCTCCTCCAGGGCCGGCGACTCTTCCTCGTTACTATCGACCTTACCCCGACGTTTGCGTCGGTGATGCCCGCCAGCCTTCCCCCCATCAACCTTATCGGCAACAGAGTCGGCCGTGAGCATCTCCGTACAGGCCGAGGTGATACGACAGCCGCTATCAACACTAGCAACACCAGCGAGCTCACCAGCAGCCAGCTGCCATAATATAAACCGACCATCGGAGCACACTGTGACGACCAGAGTGAGATCCTCCTCATCCACGGCAACCATCACCCCTTTTACACGACTACCGTGTGCAAAGCTGGACTCCTCCTCCTCGTCATCATCGTCTCCATCAGCAGGATCAACCGTACTTTCCTCTACTAGGTCCCCATTGGAGGCGACTCTGAGGACGACCAGACACCCGTTGGCCTTTCCCACGATGAGGCGACCGTCGACGAAACACATGCTCGAGAGCAAAGCGTCGCTTTCGTATGGCGCAGGAAGGGAGGAGCCCTCCCCACCTGGGTGGTCGGAAACGGACAAGACTTGAATCTTTCTGTTCATCATGATAGCGTATCCTTCCTTGCCCTCTCCCAGAGTGACCCACTTCACGTCTCGAATAGCCTCCGTGAATTTACTAACAGCAGCACAGGTGCCCCTAGTGAGGTCCCACATTCTGAGCTCGCCAGCTCCAGCAGAGAGGGCCAAGCGCCCACTAGGGTGGATGGCGATCGCCTCGACCCCTCCCTCCGAGTGAGCTCGGAAGGACTTCAGTACTCGACAGTCCGATAGACGTGTGAGAGATATTTTACCGTCGGCTCCGCCAGATAGGATGCATTGACCGCTGAAAAGGAAACGAGGATGGCTTCGACCCGATCCGGATACGAAGTGGCCGAGGTGTGGTATGACCCCCAATGCTATAAGCCTACCTAGGAGTAGCAGCGAGAGCGGTAACGCTACTCTCGTGGACATCTAAGGAGCCCTTAGCCTGGCGTTTGGTGGTGTCGTATAAACGTATAGCCTCATCAGTGCCACC